TCCGGCTTTTTAGTGCCTCACCAACGCTGTCGCAAGCTCGTTCTGCCCCGCTTATGGAATCCGATGACAATCGAGGAGTGATGGAGTCCTCACTCATTGATACGTAGAGATCCGCACAATACATTCCGCTTCTATTTTTTATCACGGCATCTGCCTTATTTCAATGGGTCTGGAGGACAAATAAATTGACACTTACAGATCATAAAAGGACGTATATCAAGCTTTCCCTTTTAACTCTTTCTTCAAAAGCATTGAATTCTGACTCTATGATTATTTGTCATTATTTGTAATTTCATTCCAGTAAAGGTTCATCTTTAGTCACAAGTTTACGTGACTGGTCATTTGTGTTGTTTTCCTATGTGGCGCAAACCTATTGACCCAAACGGTATAATAAGTTGCCTTTAAACTTTGTTGTTATGGCCCTAATGTAGCTCCCTGTTTAACTGTTCAGTCATTTGAAAAGAGGGGATTTAAAATTCACACTTCGTAGTAAACTTTATATCAATCATTGAGAATTAATAAGCCCATGGTAGAGAACGTCTGAGAAGTATAACGGATTGGATGAATCGGTTGTCATTTGTTGTATTACTTAACGATGGACATCACTAGTACATAGTTGGTTTATTTTTCACTTTCTGCCTCCAATTTCCTTTGCTTGAAATCCGAACTATTTTCGAAAGTCTCGTTTTCTTTCTGACGGCGTTGTGACGATGCTACACCAAGCTCATTAGCACAACGACAAAATACGCTGACGCAGATTTACCCTGTTACTATCAGTTCAATTTCAAGCTCACGGTTTACATGATTGAAACAAATAGATTAATGCAATCCCCCCAAGACTCATCACTTTATCGTTCATTAATCTCCTGCTGCAATCAAGACGTGTTTACTTGTGTCAATCCCTTAAAACCATCAATTTCTCACCAAGACGCGTGGTCTATCCGCTCGTTCTAGCGCCAATTGAAGAAACTGCAAATCTCCCGTCGAGACATATTCCGAGCGCATACTCCGGCACTCATCAACTGTACAGAACGGTTTACATGAAAACGACACTTGGTAACCTTTTTGTTTTTTAAGTTCTTGGTCACATCGATGTACCTCGTAAAATTTCGAGCCAAACTGCAGATTTCATCATAATGTTACGAATTTTAATTTAACATACTTTATCATTATCCCGTGAAACGGGAAAAATACAAAGCTGGGATACAGAATAGAGCGATATGGAGATCACAAAGGTACAGTGGATTACTATGAATAGAATCAATATGAAACGCATGGCATAATTCCTATCATGCAGTTATCTCTGATTGATCGTTCAAAGGTCTTTGGCGTTTGGACTACGGTTTTAAAGCACTGTACGAGACTAGAACGAATATTTTATTGCATAGCTTTTTTCCTTCCCATGTGGGAATATATACATGGTTGAAAACAGACAAAACATGGGGAACGAGTTGGCAATACAACCATTAACGACAGCATCACTACGGTCCAGCATCCATTGATTCCTGATTTCATTCGTCACTGTTGCTTTCATGTATCATATTTGAAGTCGGAAGATTACTTGATATGACACTGCTTGGGGATGCCTTTCGTCCATCATTACTCTTTGATCCCAGGTTCTGACCAAACAGCGTAGAATAATAGCTGTCACTGAGTGAAGGGACTACGCTTTGTGTCCTCAAGTAGTGTAGTGGCAGCTGTAGAGCTGCTGCTTCATGTGGAGGAAGTGGAAAAAGTCGGATGTGAAGTTTTCAATAGGTGTTAAATAGCATTGTCACCAAATACGTTTTCATTGTGCAAGTGGGTTCTAACATATAAATATGTTTATACAAACTAATCAGTTTAGCCAAACTGAACACACATCACACAATTTGTATGATCAGATTTCTGATTTCGTACAGAAACATTCTGTATAGTCTCTTATCCTGTTCCAGTGTGTAAAATTTGTAAAATCTCAGTGGTAAAGTGAATTATTTAATTCCTCATTCACTAGGATTGTTCGAGCAGTCCACAAACGTAATTTTAATCTGTTTCCATGAAACGAACCTAACAAATTCTCAACGTTCCGAGGGTCTAGAAACTGGATACCATTACGTGCACAAAAACATTCTTGTCAAACTAAATTATTAATAATAATGTGCTTCTCTCCACAACTTTCTAATGCAGACCTGTATGCGATGTTAACAGTGCAAATTGCCAAAAACGCCAAACTTTAAACGGCGTAATAGTGGGTCAAATAGAACCCATCTTCAAGAAGGACGCGTTTCAGTATTCAAAACAAACACATGTGAATACGTTTTCGTTTCTGGAATAAACATTTTAAATATCTCCCATTGACTTACTGCGTATATCCATTTGTCGCTGAATCAATTGTTGCAACAAAATCGGGTTCAACATTGGCCTCCCAAATAGTTGGGCAGTCTGCGGGTGGCAATAAAACATCAATGGTTTGACTGGTCTGGGGGTGATATTGCAACCCATTCCAAATCCAAATGTTCCAAGTGCTTCGGGTGAGCGCCAATAGAAAGGCAAATTCAAATGCGGTCGTATACCGGTTATGTGAAGAGTACTTTGTGGTTCTGAAAGGTCATTGGAAGTTGTTGGATCAGGAATGGATTTTGTACATGAGTTTTGTTCGCTCAGAGTTTGATTGGTTGGCTGGTTCTCGCACCTGGCAATGTTTTCTGTGACAGCCATTATCATCAAGCTCAAAGGCTAACTTGTAAGGTTTGGACGTCCTTTTGATGAATCAGTTTGCGTGGTTCCGTCAAAGTTCTGGTTGATACATGTACTAGCAGAAGCAGCATTTTTCTGGGTTAAATTACCCTCTATAAAGTGAAACAAACCATTGCTTTGAACCATCTTAGGGCCTAAAATGATAATATAATAATAATGTAAATGCTCTAACATACGTTTTGTCCAAGTGGCCCCGAGGTAACTACTTGTTCTTGATAAGCTTCTGATTGCATATGTTCAGTATCCTTATTCGTTTCTCCATCGTATTTCATACTTTGAGCTCTGGCAAAGTGATCTGATCCATCTAAAACTATATCAGAAACAGCGGGGTCTCCGCATAGGGGCTTCTCAATGCGTTTATTTGGGTGTCGATTCTTATTCCGGTCACAACCGTTGGAACCCTAAGCAATATAAAGTTAGGTTACCATACTCACCACAAATCCGTGTGTCCCAGTGGTTTTACTACCAACGAGACCCAGAAGCTTATAGTAAGCGCTCATATCTCCTGATGGTTGCGGTTCTGCTGGGCTTATTTTCATTTTAGACTCAAGTTCACGCAAAGTTTTAATGTTCGGTGGTCGACCTATTCAGTTACTACACAACACCCCATTTCACTCACCTTTGTACGTTCCATCCTGATCTGCGTTTGAATGAGTTGGTTTTGTTCTCGCTTCAAAACCTCTTCCTGTAGGACAAATAACCGATAATAAGGACGAACTTGTTTGCTGATCACCAGTAGCAGTGCCACATGCTTCTCGAAAATTTCCTCTGAGTCCTGTGCACGTGTGACTAGTGAACAAGGAAACTCACCGGATTGTCGTTTAAGTAACAAATCATTCTCTTTCTCGTCCTCATCATATACATGTCTTACAGAATTAACTGTTTTTTTTCCGGTTCCTGAATGGGTGCTAGACTCTTGCAAATCGACTCCCTCTTCAACATCCTGAGGTCCGTAAACGAACCATTCGGGTTCATCAAGATTGTGTCGCATCTCTTTCCTTCGAGCGTAGGTAGCACCAAAAACATCGAGACTATCGTAAAATCCGTACTCAATTTCTTCTTTCCTCTCAAATGTTTTATCTTTCAAGGCACATGCAGATACGATAGCGTCGTCATAATATCGGATAGCCTCCCACTCGTTTAAACTCTGTTTGTCAGCGCCGCTGGGGACGTTATCATAGAAGTAAAGCTTTCTTTCCTGAATCCGTCTAAGTGTAAAGTATTGCGAGTTGCGACCGATTCTACTTTTAGAAAATCGCCTATCTAGCATTGGAGGCCATCTTTGTGCGACAGGGGTATAGCGGTAGCTCAAGAGCTGGGCCTGAAAAAAGTTATATTCTTCAAAGGAACACGAACCCTCGTGTATATTTTTCTATTTCCACTCCTTTCTGGCACCTCTACAAGTGATTTAATTGCTCCATCCATCCCACTAAGCTGAGACATTATAGCCCTAACGACAAACCAATGGCAGTTCGAAAAATTGCATAAGTGAGCGAGTATTACAATGGCAGGATAGTGCACTTAAACACCAACTCAGGTCAGGTCACAGGACTTGACAAACACAAACACCCGAAAGCTCGCCACCCTCGC